ACACACAAAAAATCCTCCTAAACTTAACTATAAAACAATATTCATCACTTCATAATCATAGCCTTTATCATATTTCTCAACAAGAAGATATACTACAAATTTCGACTCCACTCACAAATCCTCTCTCCAATAACATCCACAATATCCTTGCACTATAAAGTAATCATTCAAAAAGTAATAAAGTAAAAGTAATCATTCAAATCTCAACAAAATTCATTCAAACACAATTCAAAAACAAACCAATCTCTCCTCAGTTTGATCTTCAAACAACGACATAAATCTTTCGTACGAACTTCGGAATAAAACTTTTGCCAAATGAAATGCCGCAAACGGTAGAATCACTCCGTAAAGGGTGGCTCGAGCCACATCGTCTTGATTATCGCATAACGCCATTTGGTACTCGTATACCGATGAACCCGTCTTCAATCTGACAATAAACAAATATTCCACACAAATTTGCAAACACTCCATTAGTATAAAAAATTTTTCCCTGAACAATAAATCACTTGAAAAATCACAAAATCTCAACGTAATTTAATTGAGCAAATCTTTTTTTCCTGCTAAACAATTTCCCAAGAACTACATGATAACTTATCTTCAATTGACAATCATTCATATTACCATAATAATCATAAAAATAATATTTTAAAAAAATAATAACAATAATAATAACAATGATATCAATAATAATAACAGCTAGCAATAAATATAAACCAAAACAACTCAAAAATTCCGAAAACATTTCTTAAAAACAATCCTCCACACAAGACTTTTCCATCATGCTTTTTCAAAATTCTTTGAGAATTATTTCACTTAAACTCCTCCACGAAAACGCCATCATCATCGAGTTATATTCCCTCAAAACGTTTTTAAAAATAACTCCAACTCACTTGAATTTCGCCGTCAGAATACAACTCGGTATTGCCATCGTTATACTGCAACCAATTCGCGAGTATCTCGAAAAACGACGTTCAAAGGACACTGACGGTACCAAACCGAATACCGCAAATATACACGATGTCTCCAGCACAGAGTCATGCTCAGCATTCCGATGGAAATGCACTAGACGAAGGTTGGAACCCGATTCGGAAAGCTAAAATTTTCAAACTGAACACTAACTTGTAAATTCCAAACAGACACAAAATTTTTGCCTCTTCTCTATTATTCACAAATATTTGTATCTTTCGCTAAACAAACGTTCACAATAGAAACATTCCACTACAACTTTTACTAACTGCCATAACGTTCCAAAAAACATTGCTCCCACATTTTCCACTGAACTGATTCTGTGTTCAACCGAAAACTAATAAACACAATCCATAAAAATAATTGCCTTAATGCGTCACGCAATTCAAAACTAATTTTTGACTCAGCTACAAACCCAAAAATATATACTTTTAATGCTAACAATCTATTGCGATTATAACACAACCATAATGATTCTGTTTCAGTTTCACCTTAAAAAGCCGTAGTCAACCTCAAACTTCACAAAATACTCAAAAATCTTCATAATCATTTCCCTATTCACAATGATATCCCGATCAAATTTCACACCAAACCTCTTATGAAAACAATTAGCTGACTAAATAAATGACTGCTGAAAAGCAATAAACAAAATCACAAAAGTACCGAATTAAATTACCGAAAGGTTACAAATAAATTTCGGCAAGTTCAATTCAGTGTGCACAAGTGAGGTAGTCAAAGCCTGTTGCATACCCAACTGATACACTATTGAGCCTTGCCATTGAGGATTCAAACGCATCGTGTAGACTAAAATCAATTTCGAATACAAACAAACAAACAAATTTCCCCTCTCAAATCAACCAAATTCATACCGCATATATTCACCTAAATCTTTGAACACTTCCCCATATTCCATCAATACAAGAATATGAATACAAAAAAAAAATGAACTGCTTAATTACTTAACTGCTCAAATATAAATGGTCAAATACAAACTAAAGAAATCTTTCAATTTAATGTCGCAATGCACTGGATCAAGAACTGGAATCAAACTATTGATTCAGAATGATCACTTAAATAAAAAATTTCAAATGTTCAAGCGTAAAAACATTATTAAATAAACAATAACCAACATCAACGAACGAATATTTAAATATAAA